GAGAAGAGAGGAAAAAGAGACAGGCTCCGTGTATTTGATGATTATATATCATTATATCGTCGTTATTCATTTGTTTTAAAGCTCAATAAATAACAATGAAGACCTTTGACCGGCACTTTTATAATTTTGTCCGGAAGATTTAAACTTTAACACACGCTGACCGGCGAAAAACTCTGCCCGGTTCTGTCGGCCCCCACCGCGGAGAATACACAGAAGTGCAGCCATGACAACCATTCTTCTTCGCTGCTTTTGTGGAGGAAGTTACAGCGCCACGTACAGGTTCGGCATATGTACTGCAGCTTTTCCAGCGTTTGGATGTAAACGGAGCCGTCTCGTGGAGCTTGACACAATCCGGTGTATATTGCGTGGGGACGGAAGGTTTTTTGCGGTTGCATTTGCGTTACTCCGATGCGTTTTGCCGTATTTGTCCTCGTGGAGCCGGGGCCTAAGATCCTGCATTCGTCTTCATCATCAGTTATGATTGGGTCTCTGCTTATACACTCCTTTTGCCATATTTTGCGTGTCAAAAAAGGTCGAGGAATAAGATGGAAACCTTGTATAATTTAAAATATTCAATAATTTGTTTTGTAAGTGTTTCATTCTGAGGGCACAGTCTTGAGCACATTTGTTTGACCTCGAGGAAACACACATTGGTGGAGCTTTTGTTTTTTTACTTGAAATATCCGCAGGGCATCTTCAATATTAAACTACAACCGGGGTTTTAAAACATGCTGCGAATCAGTAAAATATGAATGCAGCGTGAGTGGTGAGGAAAATGATAACATTGTTACACATTTTCTTGTTCTTTGAAACAGCATTACAAATCGCTCGTTTATGAGATGCATGCCGGGACTTTGTTTTCTGAGCATGCACGCGTGTTGTGTGTGAAGACATGAGAGGTCGTGTGCAGAGGGAGGGGGGGTCAGCAAAAGATCACTGCACTCCTGTCAGACAAGAGTGTGTGTGTGTGTGTGTGTGTGTGTGTGTGTGTGTGTGTGTGTGTGTGTGTGTGTGTGTGTGTGTGTGTGTGTGTGTGTGTGTGTGTGTGTGTGTGTGTGTGTGTGTGTGTGTGTGTGTGTGTGTGTGTGTGTGTACTTGTGTGTACTTGTGTGTACTTGTGTGAGTTGTATGTAGACGCCCACATATGTACAATACCAGTGTTGGAAGAAGTATTCGGATCCTTTAGTTAAGTAAAAGTACAAATACCACAATGTAACAATACTGTATTTACATTTCCTGCATTTGAAATGTTACCTAAGTAAAAGTAAGTTAAATGAACTAATACAAAATATCTCAAACACACAGACTTAAAAAATAAACGTCAAAATGCTAAAACACAAACTGGCCAGATTAATCAACTAATCTGTATTTTTATAAAACGTTGGCTAGTTTAATTTGGAAAACAATAGAATATGTTGTATACTTTTCAGATTTCTAATGTAACAAGTAACTAAAAATATACAAATAAATATGTAAGCGTACATTATTACCCTTTGAATTGTTGTGTAGTTGAAGTATAGACTTGCATGAAAAGTACTACTCAAGTAGAGCACAAGTACGTCATAATTGCACCTAATTACAGTACTTGAGTAAATGTACTTTTCCACCACGGCCCTCTCTGACCAGCTGTAAACACATCAATCCTCTCATGTTCTCCTATGCGCACATTATATAATATTTTCCCTAAGTAAAACATTTTATAAGAGCGATTTAAAAAGACAAAAATGATGTCTCGGCTTCTGAAGGAAAATGACTCACTCTCAGCTGTCAGGGAGACGAGCAGACAAAGAGAAGTGACATGTAAAACGACACGTTGACTGCAAAAGAGCAAAACTGACGTGCGAAGCGTCAAGTGGAGAGGGAAAGAATAAAGAGAGGCAACTGTTGCTGGCTGTCAGCGCTGCGTGACAGGTGTTTCACATTACTGAGGCACATACTCCTGCCTCTGCATTCGCACACTGGACTTTAAGTGTTCTCCACAAAAGGCCCCAAGGTTACAGAGCCTATTCATGCACGCTAAAGGCAGAGTAAACTTTCCTTTCAAGGAGAAAATGAAATGAAACGAGCACACACTCTCAGCATTAGGGTTTCAGGAGCAGAGAGGTGACTTATGTTGAAGCCCTCAGCCACTCAGAGGGGGGGCGTTCAGACTTCAGAGAGAGCAAATGTTCCCTCTTTCGTTCCTTCATTCTTTGCTCACTTCAATTTCGTAGTTTTAGCAGCTTGCAGAAGTTTGCATATTTTGCTTCCCACAACAAACAAGGTGTTAACAGTTGTTTTTTCTTTTTTGCAACCCCTTAAATCACAATTAATGAACTCTTCCCACCTCAGTTTTTAATGAGCTTTAAAGGCCCTGACACACCAAACTGACACCAAACCCGATTGTTGTGTCGCCTCGCGTCTCTGCGTCTTGGCCATGTGTCGCACTGGAACACACCGCAAAGACTTCAGCCGACGGCCAAGTAGCACGTACGCACTGCGCATGCGTGAGTGGCAATAACTCTCCTTACCAGCAGGCGGCGGTAGTGTGTATTCGTCATTCAAAAGAGGCAACAACCGGAAGACAGACTGCGTGATATATACAAACAACAGATAGCGTGCGTTCCATTTTCACTCTCGTCCATCACAGACTGTTTCACATAACGACTTGTAATCGAAAAACATGTTTAGTGCGGTACTGGAAAAGGAAAAATAACAGCCGTCTGTGTGTGCCTTCTTCACTTCCGTTTCGCTTCTCATGCACTGATTCGCTAAGCTGAACAGCCAATCAAGAGTGATTTCTTTGACGGTGCGAGACACACCAATCTGAGTAGGGCGACAGGACGCTCATCGACGCCCTGACATCTATCGACGGCCGAAATCGGCTCGGTGTGTCAGGGCCTTAAGTCGCAATGTGAAAACAAACATGGATGCTCCAAAGACGGGGTTTTTAGATATTATATTTAGACTTTAACTGATCAATAAGAAGCACCGTTCCTCATTGTGTAGAAAGCCTTTATTGAATATTCCTTACAGTATATTGTGAATGGTGGAGTGATTTTATCGGACTTGTTTTGCTTACAAACATCGTTGCTTATGTGCGTGATGCTGAGTGAACTCTGTCATGGAGGATTGTTCATGCTCCACTGGTTGGACACAAAAGAAAAAGCTTATTTCAAATGTAATAATATAATAATGAGGATCCACAGGTTGAGATGCATAATGCAATCAAAGTAAAATAAAGACAGCTGAGACCCTCATTTACTCCTACAGTCAGGGAGGATTCTTCTTCTGTTGCACACAGCATGAATCACTCTTGGTAATAGCCTCACATGAATGATTACAAAGTAATGATGCAGATGCTGTACACTGCTCATCAATTCACCCCCACATCGAAAAGAAATCACGGACGATTGAGTTGTGAAAACTGCTCTGTTGTTCGTGCAGCGAATGGCTTTTTCTGGGAAGCATGAATCTGCACCAAGCATCAAATAATAATCACACGCAGCGATTTGAGGGGTTTAGTTGTGAATAAAAACATATCAGATTTACAGCAGCTATAAGATTTAATTGACCCACACGGAGTGCTGTGCGGTGCAGCTCTATACATGAAGCAGGCATATATTCACACAAATAGACCCTCAATAAATGCATGCACTCATTGAACTACGGCTGCCATTCATAATTAAATAACACTAATCCACACACACACACACACACACACACACACAGAGGGAAACTCACCCTCAGAGGGGCTACAGTAAATATCGCCAACTGTCGGAGAATATTAGATTTCACCTTGGTATCAGGACTGTTTTATGTTTTAGGAAACTTCTTTCATTTCATTTCCTCTGTGAGTCTCCTCTCTGTGTTTTATGACAAGACTTTTGCTTTCCAACTCGCTGGCCTTTAGGAGCCGTGGAAACCCCTGTATGCACGCACACACACACACACACACACACACACACACACACACACACACACACACACACGTGCAATTATGACGTACTTGTGCTCTACTTGAGTAGTACTTTTCATGCAAGTCTATACTTCAACTACACAACAATTCAAAGGGTATTAATGTACGCTTACATATTTATTTGTATATTTTTAGTTACTTGTTACATTATAAAAACATATTCTATTGTTTTCCAAATTAAACTAGCCAACGTTTTATAAAAATACAGATTAGTTGATTAATCTGGCCAGTTTGTGTTTTAGCATTTTGACGTTTATTTTTTAAGTCTGTGTGTTTGAGATATTTTGTATTAGTTAATTTAACTTACTTTTACTTAGGTAACATTTCAAATGCAGGACATTTAAATGCAGTATTGTTACATTGTGGTATTAGTACTTTTACTTAACTAAAGGATCCGAATACTTCTTCCAACACTGGTATTGTACATATGTGGGTGTCTACATACAACTCACACAAGTACACACACACACACACACACACACACACACACACACACACACACACACACACACACACACACACACACACACACACACACACACACACACACACACACACACATACACTCTAGGTGTTTGAGGTAATACAGTGCCGTGTCTGATTTATGCACCGGGTGGCAGAGGTGTGAAAACACTTTTTACCCCCGATCTGTCACACCTTTCTTTGCACCTCTCTCCGTCGTTTCCTTTCTGTAGAAGAGTGAGTAATAGCTATAGCTAGCTATACTGTAATTCAGTGCTTTGATGGAAACTAAGTGTAAATACATCCTTGTTTAAGATGAGACGATACGGATAAAAAACATCATTTCTCACACACTTGTTTGTTTGTGTGTTGTGTTTGGGCTCCTTGAGACACATGTCCAATGACTACAGTAAAACAGGCCTCCTTGATAATAGCTCTTGCACATTTACACCAATGTTTAGTAAGAAAATGAGCAAATAATGAAATAAATGTTGCTTTTTTAAAGAAAATATCCACGTTTTGACCCTATCCTTGTGTTTTGTCCCCACTTTAACCCACATGTGTCTCTTCCTGTCCTCAGGTGTGTCTCTCCCATGCTCTTGGCCCCTGAGGCCTGAGGAGAAGTGAGCCAAGCCCAGCCCCCCATGGGACGCCCTGTTACCCAGCATGCACTGCTCCTGCTGCAGTGCATGTTGGTCCTGCGGCCCGGAGGCGTGGCCAGTAGGAGAGGACCGGTGCTGCTGCCCGAATCCCCCTGTCACAAGACGGAGCACCCCCTCGTCCCACACTCGGGTACACACACACACACACACACACACACACACACACACACACACACACACACACACACACACACACACACACACACACACACACACACACACACGCACACACACACACACACACACACACACATAATTTCACGTCGTTTGATGAGAAGGATTAAACATAGTGTTGCGTGCTTTAACCTAAGAAGCCTAACATACTTTGAGAAATAACCTTTCTTACCTCTATTGCCTGGAACATGTCGTTTTAACCTCAGTCTTTTAGCATTTTGTAGTCTTCAAGTGCACATTCTAGGCACAACTCTTATTTGATATGATCCAGCTGGAAACATTAAAGTCAGCCTGTATTTAAGTGCAGCTGATAGCCTTTTATTCCTTCCCCTGAGACACAAAGCAGACACAACCTTCCTCGCATGCCTTTACTACAGCATCAGATTTCACCGTCCTTACCCCTCTATCGTACATTGCTATTGAACAACTAAACTGTAATGAAATGAAGTGAAACTTAGTCGAAGGAGAGGGTCAATAGAGATCAATGGCGGTTCTGTCTGCTCTGTGCGTAGCAGCCAGATGTCATTGAGCTGTTTTCAGTCCAGCAGAGTTTCAGTCAGATAATCACATGAGGTTCAGTCTGGGGTGAAATGCAACTGAAGACCAAGGTCAGTGCGTGTCTAAAGATCCACGACATGTATTCAGTAACTCCACCGTGCACGGACAGCAGGTCGAAAACAGTCTGTGGCGGGACGATTTACGGTGACGTTGTAGTCTTTTCATAACAACACATATGGTGGTGACAAACGTACAGTAACTCATGTAAGCTATATTAAGCAGTTTCCTTCGTAAGCCTTCGTAAGCTTAGAGCAAAAAGCGAACTAAGAACGCTACGATAAATACTGTACAATCATCAAATAAAGTCAACATTTCAGGTGTTTCTTGAGCAGTTCAACATGTGATATGCACACTACAGTAGTAGATACGTAGGCTTATCAAGTTATGCATATATTGCATTCATTATTGTGTATTAACTCAGACAGTCATACTACTTATTTTGTTTCATGCCAATAAACACAAGTGGGCAGGAGGGTGAGGGTGACAGTCGTTTAGTTTCTTTTTTATATTACCCACTTGATAATGAAGCAATGTATTTTTCACAGTTTTCCACATGTATAAAGTAGGGCTGTGCGATTATGGCAAAAATCATAATCACGATTATTTTGGTCAATAATTGATATCACGATTATTAAAAACGATTATCCATTTACTTTGAAAACATCCATATATTGAAAAAAAATGTTTGAACAGTATGTTTTTAACAGTTGATTACCCTGAACTTTAAGTATAATTCAACTGAAAAACCAAAAAAAAAAAAAAAAAAACATTTTTTTTTTTTTTTTAATAAAAATAATAATCGTTTTATTTCGATTACATTGTTTTCGTAATCGTTGCAAGCCAAAATCGTAATCGAGATTAAAATACGATTAATTGCACAGCCCTAGTATAAAGTGTGAAACAACACAGTCTAGATGCCCTTTAAGTAGGCAATGTACAGAAAGTTGTAGTTTCCCCACGACAGTTTCTCCTCTGTCTCATTATAACGACGTCTCCCAGTGTCATTTCAGTCCTGGCGAAATCTCCTTCACTTCTTTTGTTAACCCTATGACGCCTTCCGCTGAGAAGATGTTAGGAAAATTCAAAAGACCTGATTTTATTTTACGCAGCCCAGAACTCTACAACCCTCAATCTCCGTCTTTCTGAGCAGCCTTCATCACTTCATTGTTAGCTGAGGCCATTTGTGTGCAATGATGATGACTAACTGAATGAGAGGTATTGGGTCTCTCCAATGTACCGTAATGGCCCATTAATGCTCCTGTGGCCTTACGCTTTTGCACAAATATACTGTAGGTGCATTAATCAAAAGGGACGACATCTCCGATCCTTATCAGACATGGTTCACGACACAAAGTACCGCAGTGGAGAAGATAACAGATTTTTTAGAGACTTATTATATGATAGTAGATTTTGTCTTGTAAAAGCTAGAGAGTCTGTTTACCCAGCCTACACTTCAAACTTCTCTTCTGGTTAGAGGCACTACGCTCACACATCTGCATCCAAACTATTAAAAGGTGGAATTAGTGCTCGTAAAATTAAATCGCACCGATGCAGAAACGTTACCCAGAATGCATGTACATTTCATTGCCTTGTTAATGCTGCTGGACCCTCAAGGTTCACCCAAAGTTTCCGAGCTGTTCACACACCAGCTTCGTCTGCCTGGTTTTATGGTCATGTGGCGACAGAAAGCATAACAAGTTCCCCTTTAAAAAGCAGCTTTATAATGATGCTTTGTTTACTGCCTTCCCCAATCTTACTCACGCTCACCTTGTGGAAGTATCGCACCTTTTCCGAGCAGCTGCTAACTCCCATGGTCTCATGACTGTCTCTCACATCTATATTTATGTTTTAATGACTTTCCTTTCATGGCGTGATCATAGTCTGTGTGCGGTTCAAACACATCTCATTGTTCTGACTCGTACAGTAGCCACAGACCAAATTACAGCCTTTTTTGCAATGAAAAAGTTATGAGTCAGTGCAGAATCCATATGCACGCATACACAGGGACGAGGAACCTTTCTTTAAACCTGTGATTATTCTCTTCTGTGTGCCATTGTGCTCTGTGTAATGTACTGTAATCCCTGGTTGTTGAAAATGTGCAGCGCTGCCATGGCTGCTCTTCAGTGGAGCTGGGAGGACTACAAACACATTAAATATACCCTGCGGAGCACTTTACACCCCCACTCGGCACAGGAGAGCCTTATACTCTTGGACATACATTTAGAGATGTGGCTGCAGCATTACAGAGAGAATATGGCTTTGACTTGCACTTAAATAGTTTGACATTTTGGTAAATACTCTTTTTTACTAAAATGTCTGATGCATAGAAGTCTATCGTAGCGACGACCAATGATAATGGCTATTTAATTAGCGGATAACATTCAACATTTTACAAAGACGACGTCTTTTTTCTCTTTTTCAGTGTATACGATGAAAACGACTCCTCCCGAGGTGAATAGGATAAAAAAAAAATGTAACTTACGGCCCGTCCACACAGCAGCGTTAAAAAAATATTGGCGGTGGGCGTATCTGAAGCTTGGGGATTTTTTGCGAGCAAGGCACCAACAACCAATCACATGAATCTCCCGCCCCCGACATACGAAGCAAAAAAGCCCGAAGTAAACTGGATATAAACTCCCCAAACAGGCGAAAACCTACCACTGTCTCTGCCACCTCCCTCCATGCCTGGCTCCTCCGGTTTATATCCCGGTAGGTAAATAGGGACTGGTCATAAAGCACCGGGTGATTCCCTACCGCTAATTTCTCCTCCATGTTTTGGAATATGAGGAAATGACCTGCGGTATGTCTCTCCCAGCATACACGCCGTTTGATTGGCTAGCCCTTGAACTGTCAGATTTGCATACACGGGATTTGATTGGCTGACGCTTCCACCTCAGCTTCAAAAGTTGAACATTGCTCAACTTTGAATCCTGAAAATCCTGAAAATCTCCGCTCTGCTTCCCACAATGCAGTTCGGCGAAAAGTGAGGCAAAGTGACGTCACCCCATTCAAAGTGAATGGGCAGAAGCGTTTCAAGATTTTTTAACGCTGCTGTGTGGACGGGCCGTTACAGTGTCTTACTAACATTGAGAGAGAAAATCTGAAAGATAATGTTTAAAAAAAAGCAAAAAGTCATCATGTCATGCTAGCGTTTGGTGAATTGAATCCAAAAATCTTAATTTATTTAATGCAAAATCACATCTTTACCCATCAATTTTCATAAGAATTAGTAAATGAGATGTCGTGTGTAAAAGAGTGAGTTTTGATGCATCTACGTATTAGTGTAAAGGCATTATTGTTTTGCTAATCTTCTATTGAATGAGCTGTTGGAAGAACAATAACATGACCTTGGAGTTAAGGCCATTGAGGCATTCATTTTTTATAATTTTCTGGCATTTCAGAAGTTACAACGTCTATCAACAAATAGGAAAAACATGAATACACTGCAGTTGGATGAATGTATTCAAGCATGAGATAGAAAACCAGTCTTTTTGTATTCAAGGCTGAGGTGCCAGTAGGTGAAAGGAAATAAAGAAGCGATATTCTGCAGCTTCTCCATTGTTCATGTTCACAATGCTCACACTTCAAGCTAGCCTGGTAACATAAATAGTACTTTTGAGCACAAAGAGCCAGGGTCAAGGTTTGTCCGTGTTCCAGAGACAGTGGATCTTTCTCTGTGTGATTGTGGTTGTTGAAGGGCGTTTCTCACATGGCTTTGACCCCGGTGGGATGGTGGTTTTCTGACTTGGCACAACACTTGGCCGACAGATCTGCTACTGTGGTGCGAGGATGCTAACGTCTAAAGACCACTCTCGGTTTGAGAAATGTAGGGTTTGAGAAAGAAAGTGAAGCCTATAGCTCAGCAGCTACGTCCCTAATGTTTATACAGAATATACACTCAGGTCTGAATATAGCTTCAGGAGGGGGCCAATGTAAATGTGGCTTTTATAGAATCATTTAAAGAGGGGTGTTGAATGGCTTTATTCCATTTTTAGTACAGGAAGGTCAGACTTTTGCACCAAAGACAAATACTGTAGGCCAGGGGTGTCAAACTCAAATACACAGTGGGCCAAAATTAAAAAATGGGTACTAGTCGAGGGCCAGACTGGTTCAATGTTTATTGCAAAACGTATTGAAATGAACTTATTGCACATATTAAACCTGGAACTAACAAAGCTTAAATTATTGCCTATAAAAACAACATTAAACATTAAATAATCAGTTGATTAACTATTAAATAGTTAATTTCTGCAGCTTTTCCTCAGTCATTTCTTATGATTACATTTTTCCAACAACAGCTTCAAAAAAACAATTTCCCTCAAAGAACAAACCAAACATGCCCTGTTGTCACAAGAAGAAAAGTGCAGAAGGAAACATCCATGTAAATACTTGGCATCT